TGGTAATCAAAGAAACCGTTTTATTCATTTTTAAACCTAAGAGTTGTTTATATACTTAACATTTTAGTAAACAAATATCTAAATGTCACTATTATCTTTACCGCTGCTGTTTGAGCACCCACCGCAGGTCCTTTGTTGATGTTTTGGGCTCTTGGCTTTCTTTCGTTCTTTATGCTTTTTTTTTGTTGATGCCCGGTTTGGGTTTTATTTTTTAATATTTGCGGTTGTCGCTGTTGTTAAGCCATCGAGGCATCAACTTGAGTTCAATTAAAATCCACATCAAACAATGGCCAGGCACGTAGAAACTACTTCAGGAATCGCCCAACAATCGGGGGTGGTTGAACGATATTTGTGTATATATATATATAGACAGCAAGGACTCGTGTCCTGGCTTAAGTCCCATTCTGCGCCCTTTCCTTTGGCGAGAAGAACACGTGTCCACGCAAAACTTGTTGCCCTACAAGTCGGTTTTCGGTTTTCTGTTTTCGGTATTTGGTCCTTTTATTCCCGGACTCATTTATCCATATGACGCGATTCGCACGCGATGCCCGAAAAGTGTTTGCCCTTAAGTTCAAAATCATGTCCTTTTGAAATGCCCTCGAAAATCGGGGCGAAAGCTCCGCCGCCTTGGAAAATCCCCGTGCGTGCTGATTAACCCAATAACCCATCCACATGTGGGTGGTTGCTTTTGGGTGGTGCACATGCGGTTGCTGCGGCCTGCGTCTGGGTTAAGCCTACGCAATATTAAAGTGATGCGATAAGGTGGGGGGTTAAGTGAAGTTCAGATCGCGAAAGATTTGATGTTGATAAGGAGCACAAGTGGGGAAGAGGAAAAGCATGTCTTTGAAGTGCGGAAAATAGAAACCCAAGTGAGGGGAACGAATAACAAAGTCAAGTGGTGGGGGAAAAGGAAAAGTCAACTTAAAACGCAATATTTTTAACTTCATTGGAAATACTAAACATTAATTAGAGTTATTGTTTAAAAATGTATAAAAATAAAAATAATAATAAATTCATTTAACATTCATTAACAATTCTTCTCAAAAACCATTTCTATAACTTTTATTTGTATTATTTAAATGTTTTTGTAGTACTAATAAAATCACTCAGCAATTCTATGCAGTGCAGGAAAGCCAAGGAAATCTCCCCATAAAATTAGCAAAACACGCCCGTCGAATGGAAGTAAACAAGATGGTAGCCCTTAAATTCTTGGAGGCCATCAAAGAGCTGCGCAGTGTGATATAATTAAATGGGCATTGGTTACGCCCCCGTCCATGGAGCACCCACTATGGCCATACTTCTCGAACACCACCGAAACCAGCGAAACCTGATGACAATATTATTGTTAAATTGCAAAGCGCACAAATCAAATTAACAACGCGTCCTGCACCGCAGAAAAATGGTTGGCGTTGTCGTTGGCAACCACAGTGGCGCAGGCGAATCTGCAGGCCATCCCCGAAAAGGCAAAAGGAAAAAGGGCCAGAAAGGACACCCGCCCAGTCGAATAGATCCCGGATCCCAAAAACAGCCACCCAGTCAAACAGTCAGAAAGAAGCGCAGCCAACAAGGCCACACCACCCACCATCCACCACCCAACCACCCACCTCCCAACCACCCAACCACCAGCTGTGACCCGACGGCGTTAATGACGCACAAGTGTGTCACTTTCCCCCAGGCACAGTGGGTCAACAGTGGGTTAAGTGCCAGTGGTGGTGCAAAAATATAATATAAGAAATTCAACTAAAATGCAAATATTTAAATACATATATTTATACAAATTGAATGGTGGCTTTTTCATTGAAAACCAAACTATTATTTAAGGCCTAAAATTATTAATAAACTTGATCATTGAATTCCTAGTGCTACAATTCCAAAACCTAACAGAATTATTTGAGAGATACAAAACAACTCTAAAACTAGTTATTTTATTGAATGTAATCAGTGAAATCCTAGTGCAACAAGTGAAAAGTTAAAGTTTTTATGGGCTTCTTAAGTATTTTATGTGTTTCTGTTAAAATAAAACCTAATGGCATTAAACACAAGACATTGTAATGTATTTAAAACAGAAACCAGCCGTGTATCTAGAGATAAATGAAAATAAAACTATCTTGTTTTACTCAATTTGTTGACCACTGTGTTTTTCTATTTTCAAAGCAACTTGGTGTTAATATGCAAAACAGAAGCAAATAGCCACTTTTATCTCAGTGTATGACAACGAGAACGGAGAACAAGGCACAGCATGAATAAATGAAAGCAGAAAATCAGTTGATTTTAATATGAAATTTCACGCTACCTCTCTCTCTCTTTTTATGCTCACCCGAAAAAACAAAAAAAATGGGAAAACGCAGTTTAATTGAAAATTATCGCAACATGGTTGTCACGCAATTATTTCACGTTATCACCAAACCGAAAGCAACAAAAAAGGCGAATCGAAGGGTGGAAAGTGGGGTGGGGAAATAGCTGCTGAGATATCATTTATATCCCGGGCGTTGCGAATTTTCCAAAACAAGTGCAGAGGGGAAAACCACCACCAGCACCACCGAAACCGCCGAACCACCGTAGGCCACCTGTGCCACACGCACAAAGTATCTCTTTTCGGTTGAAGATACATTTGTATCTTTCGCGTTGCGTTGCCATAGCGTGAAATTTTAATTGCCCAAAAAATCAGAAGACTTTCACAATCGAAAGTTGAAATTGCGGGGTCAGCGAGATCAAAGGTCAAGCTGTCGATTGACATTGGGTCAACATATAGTTCTATATTTAATGGCTAAATTATTTGCACTTTGATTTTTATTATATAACATTCTTAAAATGAAATATAAAACATATTTTTACTGTTAATAATATTGAAAGATATAAATATTTATTTCGTTTTTCTTTTAGTAATGTAGCAAGCAAGTTTAAAAGAATTCCATAAAAGCATTCTGAGCTGTTTGTTGATTAAACCCCTTAGAAAATTGAGTTTTATTGATGTTCAGCCAGCTGCATTTCATTGAGAAGTAACTATTTTGTTGATTCAAATACTCAACCTAATCCTAATTGCTCTATTAAAATTCCCAAAAAAAAAGACGACAGCTCAATTGACCAAGTCAGAAACGAGTTGAGGTCTTCGAACAAAAACAGGATCAACCCTAATCCGTGCTGCAGTCAACTAATTGACTTATTGAGGGCCTCATTAACCCAGGCCAACCTGTACAGGTCCCGCTCCACGCCGGTACACCACCGAATATTCTGAGATATATATAAAAAGGGAAACGCTAAACGATGAATAGAACTCAGAACCAGGGGCACATTAATCAATTCCAATCAAACAATGAGCGATTCAGTTGAACTCGAAATGTTTTCCGTAAACAATGAGGATCTGGCCATCAATGAAAGTGAACAGGTTGGGAACTGCCAACTGAGAAATGAGGAATAAAAACCGAGAAACGTAAAACGAGAAATGAGAACTGTGGACTGTGAACTAAAAACTGAGAAATCGCTTAGGACAATGCAGAGGAAATGGTCAGGATCATGGGGTGTGTGTTGTTGGCTCAATCAATGCCAGCCAAACAAGTGTTATGAATGATTTGATGTTTTCATTTGTCCCCGCGTTTTTTTATTTGATTTTCTTTTGGGAAACCAAAACCCCAACAAACCGCACAAAGGCGAGAGTGAAAAATCCCCGATAATAGTTTGGATTTCACTTTCAGGGCTCTCGGCAGACGAACTGGCACCGTCGACCGACGACCGCAGTGTGTATACAGAGATGACATGATTTATGAGGATTCAGGGATCCACAGTTTTTCAGTTTTTCAGTTTTTCAGTATTTTGTATTTTGTAGCCCCCTGCCAAACTCCCAAAAACTCGCGCTTTGTCCTGACCACGGATTTGTGTAAGAAATGCTGAAAAATGTTTCAATAAACTGTCGCAGGTTCGGCTGCTCAATAGGTGGTCTTTTTTCCAGTTTAAAAAGCCTTTATCTTATAACCGGTTAGAGGGATTCCAGAATCCAGAGACATATTAATAACTTAATTGACCAACAGAGATTATTCAAACACCCATTTAATTTTCATATCACAAGTGTTTTGTGGAATTTGAACACTAATATCTATAATCATTTATTTATTCATTTTCAATTATATTTAAAAACGCTTAAGATATAATACTTTCAATATTTATTGTTAATTTATTTTTCAAACAAGCCAGTTGTTCTTTTCCCAACTTTATTTGTTAGTTGAACAATGATTTGCTAACATCTTTTCAAATGTATTTTCGTATCTCTAAGAATATTTTGTTGCCCCCACAATTAGTTATTGGCTCAGACTCCTCCCCATTTTTTTCTTTTCCCACAGACCTTTTTCCCTGATTTTATTTTGGGGGCGTAAGTCTTAGGGGGACCACAAAAAACAAACAAGAAACAGATGGAGGAAAGTGGCAAATTTTCAAACAAATTTAATTTCCGGCATTGGGTCAGATAGATTGGCAAACATCATTTATCATCGTGGGTCGAAGGAGCAGGTACAGACTGTTTTACCACAGAAAGGGGATATTATTCTACTACTTTCTTTCCTCGTAAATTGAACCATCACCGAAGTTATTTATTGAACTATTATAGAGATTCGAGTTTGAATTGAAAATAAATGTGTAATTTTATAAGAAATCCTTTCAACAACAAAACTAGTTTTGCTTGATTTTTAAGGCACATTGGAATAAGTTTGTTTTTAAATCTAATATTTTTTTGAGCCAAGGTGATTCTAAGATTCCCCGAAAACCAAAAAGGCTGCGGCTGTAAAAAAGGATTTTGGAAAACGCAAAAAGAGTGAGAGTGGCGGCCGCGTGTGGGAAGCGTGTGTTGAATTGGCCCAGGTAGAACGACCTTGACTCCTGGGCATTGCATAAAATTTGCTAAGCGGCCACAGGTAGTCCTGCCTACGGATGACTCAACTGAATGCAACCCGCAGAAACCTCAGAGGGTTACCGGGAAAGGGAAATACACAGACACAAACACACCAGCACAATGTCTTTAGCCTTTTGTATTTATTTTAGTGAACTAAGAATAGAGGGTTTCGCTTTCAATTGCTATGGCAACTTGGTTATTCATCGGAATCGCTGGTTTCGCTGTGTTTGGACGAGGTCCTTGGCCGTCGGCCCTTCTTGAGGAGCTTGGAGGTGGCCTTGGCCCGCGGGGCGGGGGGGTGGTAGGGGGCCGCTCTGGACGGGGACTCCTCCTCGTGGATCTCCTCGCCCTCGCCGTCGATGAAGCCCGAGTGTCCCGTCTTGCGCTGCGGCACCTGGGTGACCACCCTCTTGCCCTCGCCCGTCCAGTAGACGCCCTCGATCTCGCCCTCGTGCATCCGCTCGTGGACATCGCTCGTGGTCTCCTCGGGCTCCTGCGGCTCCTTGGCCTCCCCCGCCGTCGTCGTCGTCGTCGTCTCCTCGGCCTCCAACTCGGCCGTCTCCGGCTGATCGAAGCTCCCCGACTTGCCCTCATCCTGGCCGGCACTCATTCGCACCGCCCGCATCTCGTTGAGCTCCTCCTCGGTGAGGTCCTCCACTGTGATCTCCTGCGAGGTGGCCGTGGTGTAGGGCTGATCCTCCTCGCCGAAGTCGTCATCGTCCTGCAGATCCTCCTCCCGACCCTCCTGCGTCTCCTGCAGCGCCTCGCGCAACTCCCTCAGTTGCATGCCCAATCTCTGGCGGAACTCCTCGTCCTCCTCGGCATTGAAGTGCAGGCTGCGATCCTGATCCCCGACCAACATGGGCAGGAATCGGGGTGGAACAGGACGACCGCCCAGGAGGTTCAGGCGACCGTGGAGCAGTCGGCCCAGGAGATCCAGGCAACGGCTCTGGGCCACGGGAGCATCCTCCAGGACCTCCTCCGCATACAGGCCCTTGTGGTGGAAGGACTTCAGGGGATTGAGCAGGACCAGAGTCCTTGAAAGGCCACTCTTTAACAACGATCGTTGCATGCTTGAAATTGTATAACAAAGTAATGGATTCAACTTGGAACCTGTCTTCCTTTTCACTGTGAATGTGATACACGGATTGTGGCACGGCTTTAATTTATATGGTTAATTTTATTTGGAAATGCGGTTGGTAAAATTTAAACAATATTTCAACTGATAATTTTGTATGGAACTTTTTCGGTTATCTATTTTTTTTTGTTTTGTTTTTTTCGAAAATTAAAACTTGTGAGACCAAAATATGTTTGTTGTTCCGGAGTCGGGGTTCGGCTAACGACTGATGATCTGGGGCCATGGGTATAGACCCCAAAATGCTCCGGCAGCTGACTTATAATGCAGCACCTACTGGAATACCCCGCCTGCTGCTTTTCCATAATCCCATAAAACAATTGACTTTCTAACCGTTTCGCAAATAATAATAAAAATAGCATAAAAAGGGAGGAAAAAATGGGTATTTTCCGTGGAAAAAAAGCAAAAACGGCTATTTATGGACAGGGGAAAAAAAAGGATTTGCTGGGGTTAGAATTCGCGCGAAATTGCATCTTTTATGACGCAGGGTTAGAGCTAGGGTTACATGCTATATAACCCTAGCCCTAAAAACGGCTACCTGCCACGCCCCCCGCCCCCTTGCTAATTATGTCATTTGGCGTAAGTCAAGGCTGGAAAGTCAATTGCGGAAAATGGGTAAAAATGTGACACAAACGAGCCGAGAAAATGCCATAAAAATTGGTTGGGTAAAAAATCCATAAATGGAGGAGTTGAGGGGTTGAGGTGATCGGCAACTGCAACTGAAAGTGCCATCCCAAAATCCTCGTCACATAGGGTGTGTAATGTCACAGAGGCTCATATATCATTAGCGATATGAAAAAAATTAATTAAATTTAAGTGGAGAAACAAGAAGGGACTTATTAAATATAAATACAGATTAAGTTTAAATACCCCTTTATTTCAGCTGCATTTTTGTACATTCTACCTAAGTTGTAATTATATTTAATTTAAAATTAAAATCTTTAAAGTTTCATATTTCAGACATTTCAACATTTAAGAGCTGCAAACATTCAGAAAAATCTGACGAACTACATTTAATTATGTAAATGGTAAATAAAAACATTATTATTATCATAGTTTTTGGTTGCTGAAAAGAAGCAAGCAAAATGTCCCATCTGCTTATTTTTGCATCGTCTTTTAAATTTTAAATGTTATAGGTATTTTAATAGCTAAAAACTAGAAGCAATCTCCGATTTAGAGTGCCTCCATCTCCTCGCGGGACTCATAAAAATCGCGCAAATATATATTTGAGGTACTCTACGCTCCAATCCGACCTTTAACCCCTGTTCCACCCGTTTCCCCCCGTTTCCCCGCCAACAAGTTGTCGTCAGTGTCCAGGACAATTTGCCTGCAATATTGCGTTGACAGCCACGAGAAATAATAGTCCAACAATTTATACAATTTATGAGTTTGTGTGCCACATCGGCGGCAGGGGTTTTTTGGGCCATGGCAAGGGTTACCAAAAAAATGTGTGTAGCATACTTAAGCGGGCTTCGGTGGGTGGTGCTGGGTGGTGGTGGTGGATCGAATGGCACATTGTGCAAAAAAAAAAAAATAAAAGCAACATCCAGAAACGGAGAAATCACAGTCGAAAATCATAAATTCGGCATGTCTAATGACAATTTGCAGCTCCACATGAGGGGTAAAATAAAATGTTGAGAGACCGTTTTTATCGTTTTTGATTTTTTGATGTTGCGCCCTTTTATGTCAGCGCATAAAAGTCGTTTGTTGTTCGGTCTAAGGTCTTCTGGATTCGGGAAAACGGCTTTTCATAACATGGCGACGCCATGGACCGCAGACCAATTTGGAAATGACGCACTACCCTTGCCCAAACTTTTCCGTCTCCCCTCGCCAAGCCCTCATCTTTTTATGGTTCAAAAATTGTTTATTGGTAAAATTAAGCTGATAATTGCCACTCGGCAAGGCAAGGTTTAACTGTTAGGTATTAGCACATTTTTTTAAAATAAAATTTATGTGTATAAATCATTCCAAATAACTAATGATAAATTGCACACTAATTAAAGAATTTTTAAAGAGCTATGTGAATCCCACCAAATACATTTTATTAAGTATAAGTGATGGATCAAATTTGGTAATTGAGCTGTGATTTGCATTTGTCTTTTTCATCAAAATATCGTACAAAAATGCCCTAAGATATATCCCCGAAATATTTGTAACCTGTTTCTAATTTCAATAAGGTTAATCTTACAGGAAAAGCGTATAATTAACCTGCGAATGATTATAAATCCAGAAACTACTCTTTTCAAATCTTGATCCATTTAAATCGGTTTTCGGTAATAAAAGTAACGCTTAGCCTAAAATATATGTGATATATGGCAGCTGGTGGAGGTCCTTTTGGGACATTTATGAGGCCAACGGCTGGTCGATGCCAGACGCATCCGCAGTATAAATCAAACCCGTCCGAGGATCCCTCAAACACTGTTGAGATCCCATTGTGGACTGGACTGGACTGAAGATGGAGATGGAGATGGAACTGCAACTGGAACTGGAGATGAGCCATCTAGGCGGCCATAACTCATCCGCCGGAGCTGTTGGCCACCGAAAATGAAGCAATCAGGGCCGGGAGAATGCCAACCGCCCCGGGTAATTGTTGTTTGGCATTTGGTCGATGATGTCACCGCACAGGGAGAGCCAGGCATTGTCGTTTCCACTTCCTGGCCAGTCCATTGTCTCCTTCGAGACGTTTTACGATTGTTTACTGCTGTTTCTGGCCTCTGTTCTATGGGCTCTGTGCTCTGTGCTCTGGCCATTGGCTTCTGACTTCTGGCTTCCATCAAATGGCCAACAAAGCCCCCCCCCCCAGTCCAGAAAACCCAAACCCAAACCGAAATACGAACCGAACCCATTGTGGCCAAGGCACTTTGGGCCATTCAGCAGCTCGTGGGTGTTCCCATTTTCATACCCCCACTTCTTGGCCCATTTAAGTCCCGATAAATACGCATTTGATTTGGGTCCCCATCAGGACAGCAGATAATAGAAATCGAATCGAATCGCTCCAGCTTATTAAATCAACCCTTTTTTGGCCGAGTCCCTTGTTTACCCAAACTATTAGCTGCAAGCTGGCGGGGATTTGCGGCCACTGGCCATTGAAAGTTTGACCCGAGCGGAAGGGGTTTGCAGGAAAAAAAAACAGCCAGCGAAAACAAAACAAAATTTAGTTAAATTCACGAAAATACAAATACTCTTTTCAGAGATTTTTAGCAATTGCTCTGTACAAGGAAAATATATTTTGAATATTGAGTATAAGTCTTAAGGAAAATCAAAAATATATAGAATAATTTTACAGAAAATAATATTCAAACTAATAATGATAAAAACGAAAATATAACTTAATTTTCTGGGAATTGTTTTAATATTCTCTCAAACATTGAACACATATCTCATCCTAAGTTTTAAAAAATGTCATAAAAATATAAATTTCTTTGTTTTGCAAGCCTAATTTGTATCTTTCTAAGTATTACTTTGTTGATGCTTTAACCAGCCAAAATAAATGAGTATACCCCTTAGGCAGTGTATCACTTCAGAGAGTGACATAAAAATAAGCATAAAACTAAATGTGCCACATTGAGGAATGGACGAGAAGTTGGACCCAAGGGGTTAAGGTCGGGTCAGTGTGAGGCGTTTAAGTTGATTTCGTTTTGAATGTTTATTTTATTGCGAGGAAAATGACGCCAACGTGGCCAAGAAATGGTGACTGCTCTCCGACTGCCTGTTTATCCCATTTTGACCATTTCCATTTTGGCCATGGCTAGGTGGACCAGGACTTGGCCGTGGACTTGGCTCCAGTCGCTTTTATGGCCGGCGATTGTATCGCGAATTTCGTACGCAATAAAATTCAAATATACTTGCGATAAAAATCAAATCTTGTTGGACATTCGAGACCCCATTCCACCGATTTGGCGACCCAATTGGGGGTATCCCATTGCGGCTGTTACGCGTTTCAATTTTCCCTTACTGCCGGCGATTCGGTTTTATTGGGTCTCCATCTGGTCGCAAATAGATTAAATTAACAGCGTATAAGATAAAAGCGAAAGAGTCGAATGGGCCAGGAAACTTGGCCGTAACCCATAACACCTGATGTTTTCAATTTAACTATATTATTCAGACACAAAAATCTATTCGAGTTAGTAATTATTTCACAAATAAATTAAAATAAATTTATTATAATTGTAAAGTGCACATTTCCGACCCTATAAAGTATTAAAATTCTCCCTTGACATTTTTGTTTGTAGATGCTTCAAAAAAAGGATACATTACTTTCCAATTGATTTAAATTTTGTAATTAAAATGTCTACATTTTGATGGCTGACAAATCTCTATAACCATATAAAGATGTTTTTTCCTGGATAGGTGAAAAAGTTGAGAAATCAATTTCCCTGAGTTGGTGACAATTTGAAAAGGACCGACACTGTCCGAAAAAATTCCGAGAAAGTGACCAACTGCGGTTAGTGATAGGCCGTCAGTTTCAGGTTGAGTTTCGTTTTCGTTTTCGGCTTGGGTTCAACTTCGACTTGGACTTGGAGGATGCAGATACTAATGAAGTGCTCGCTGGTCCTCCAGTGGTATCCGTATCTGTAGCTGGGCCCCTGGGGCGATGTCGGATGCATTTGGCAAATAAAACACCTACCGACAAGCCAGATACGCCAGATATGCCAGATAGGAGGAGGCCCAGCGTGCCGTCCACACAAAAGGACAACCGACTCGACTCGACTCGACTGCAACTGCTACCAAGGATGAAAAGGATGGGCGAGATGTGCCCGAACAGTAGGAGCCCATGGAAAGGACCGTCTCGAGAACTGCAGCTCCGAATCGAGAACTGCAGGGCAATTAGAACATTATCAGGCGGCAATAATCGGCTCGTTTGCACCCAAGTGTCGTCCTGTCGTAATAATAAAAGGACCTCTCTCCATCTCGTGGGGCAGTGGTAAAAACAACAGGACATCTACATCTCCGTCTGTCCCTGTTCCATATCCATTTCCATTCCCATTCCTGTTTCTGTTTTCCATTTTCCATTTCCAAAACCCAGATAGGCAGGCGACAATGTCGGCGGCGACAGTCGGGCATCAAAGTCGATTATCACAATTTTTGGGATTTGCCTTAAATCACGCACCAGCAGTCGGAAACAACTCAATTAAAATTCCTGGAATGTAGCGCAACGGCTCTTGTGTCCTTTTCCAGGCGGTTATTGTGGTTTCTGATGTGGCCC